TATATATGTGTGTGTGTGTGTGTGTGTGTGTGTGTGTGTGTGTGTGTGTGTGTGTGTGTGTGTGTGTGTGCAGCTCGAATCCCCACTGGGGGGAATGAGCTGCCAGTGTTGGTCAATAAGTAAGATGGAGATGCCTCATACAATAATGGGAGACAATGAAATGAATGGCATGCCGGCACAGGAGTCACCCTGCTTGCATTAGGTGCTGAGGAACCCCAGCACCTTGATGAAAAATTGGCAACTGGAACAAGAAGAAAATTGGCGACCTTTTTCGCAGGGTCTACATGTAAAGGATGTGGGAGAAAAGGTCACTTTAAAACCCATGGTTCACACTCACAGTGAAGCAGCTAGAAGCTCAGTGTTCCAACATCGATAAATGGCAACAGCTCTCACAACTTTAGATTGATAAGATACACCACCAATGGGCACCAATGCACCAAATGACCACCGGACAAGCCTGAAACCAATTACAGGACTAAGTGAAGTACAATCAGGAAGGCTCCTAGGAGATGTGAATACAGCTCTGCAAGCAATTCCTACATCAACCATCACTAAAAAAAATTTATTGATATACTGCACAGCAGCAGTGATTGTAGAGGTCCTTTGCTATCATGAGAAGAACCATGAGATTAAATACCCACCATGGGAAAAAAGGCTGGAGGCTTATATCAAGGCAGCATAGAGAGAACTATTTCAATTGGCAAAGGCTCTGAAATGTGCAAATATTCAATTCAATTCAATGCAGTTCATTTATATAGCACCAGCTCCCAACACATCATCTCAGGGCACTTTACAATTCAACAGATCATACAGTCAAATCGATTTAAAGTTTTTTCTCTAAGGAAAACCAGTTGATTGCATCGACTCAATGACAGCTCCCATGTCAGAGGATGAAGCAAGCATGACCAGATAGTCACTGTCAGAGAACTGGACTACACTGAAAAACAGGCTGATCTCCAACATCTATAAATAATGCAACTTTTTTACTCATTTTTGTACTATATACACTCTTTATATGGTCTGTCCTGGTTTTTGATCTTTATTGGCATTTTGCTTTAACGCTTTGTACTCTATATAAGCTACTGCAACCAGAATTTCTATAAAGGAGTAATCCCAAGGGATAAACAAAGTTTAGCCTAAGTCATAGAAGAAGTCAGGGGTCAAACTGACCTGCTGGGAAATGATGGTGATGTTTACCTTTTCAGGGCCGATTCTTTTTTAAACTTTCAATGAGGTTTAGCCCAGTAAGGAACTGGTACCAGTTCTAGTTCTCACTATGCTGATGTTCCTTGGACCCGTATCATTTCAGAGGGAGCTGGCTGATGGGTCGGATCCTGTCTGAGCCATTATTAAAAGGCCACTTATAAACAAGTACCTGAGAGGTACAGCCAGATGCACATGCCTGAACCCATGGAAACCTCCAAACAAAGGCTCCAAGCCTTGGCCAGCCACCTAAATAGGTACATGAGAGATAATAAAACCAGACTGGTAAACCGGCTGTTCACAACTCAACCAGAGCAGTGTACGCTCAATGGCAAGGGAGCAATAGCAGAACACCCACAAAGGCTGGAAACTGAATAGTACTGGAAAGGCATTTGCGAGAAGGAGGCAGCACAAAACAGTGATGCTCAGTGGTTGGTGGCTCTGACAGAGGACCACAGCAACCTCCCTGAACAGAATCAGCCACCATCAAAGTGGCAAATATCCAAGAAAGAGTCTTAAGTAAGAAAAACTAAACAGCACCAGGCCCTGACATAATAGAGTCAGACAACTTCTATTGTCATTTTGTGTACCCTGAGTGTATACAAAACAAAATTTTGTTTAGTACATATTTCCTGACAGGAAATTAATATTTCCATTCCATAAAGTGCATCAGTGATCAAATGTAAACAGTGTGGGAGATGCCTACCTGCTTAAGAAACTCATGGCATTCCATGAGCGCTTGACAGCACAATTGACTCAGCTGCTGAGAGTTTGGAACCACCCTGAATGGTTAACCAAACGGTGCACAATCCTGCTGAGAGATGGGAACCATCCTGGATACCTAACTCACGGCCGCACAATCCTGATCTTTACATTCCAATCCAACTATCAGCCAATCACCTACCCACACACAATGTGGAAACTCATGTCCGGCATCATGGCAGCTAAGATAAGCAGTCACATGGATCAATACATGAACAAAGATCAGACAAGAATCGGTAAAAATGTTCTGGTAGAGAGAACAGTTTCTCGAGGACGCAGAACCTGAAACACCAACCTGAGCACAGCCTGGATTGATTATTAGAAAGGCTATGACTCAATACCACAATAGATCAACCAATCAACTTTTTTGTCTACTAAAGTTTACATTTCAATCAAGATTTCAGTGTCAGTGCGACCCGTTCATCGCATACAACACATACATTGGGGAGGGGTGGGGGGGCTAGGAGGGGGAACAGTTTTACTGAGGCTAAGTGTACCGCAGAATGCTGCCTTTGGTTCGTTCTTATGGCTTCCCAGGTTCCCACCATGAGGCGGTTACCCATGGCACTGTCTTTATCTCTGTGGAAAGATAGGAGCCACATCGGGGAAGAGAGGGGAAAAATGCGTTTTTCACTCTTTATCCTTGACGGGATTCAGTTTGAGAAACCAAAAAAAAACCTCAGCACAAGAAAAGCACATGTAACACGAGACAGACATTTCAGCCGAGGGTCACTTTGGAGGCAGAGTCACAGGAAGTCAATCTGACATTTGAAACATTAGTTGTGTGTGTATGATGAATGCGTTCAATTTTTCTGTGAATGCTGTCCACAGGCCATTGTCCTTGATGAGATGGAAATTTATCCACAGTTCTGGCTGCATCCTGTTGTCGGAAAATTTTTATCTGTCTTCTATTATATATTAATCTATCCTATTTACTCACTATAAAAGTTTTAACTCAGTCCGTTTCTCTCTCAAGGCCACACCATTCCCTGCAGGATGGTGTTTGTAGACCAGACATAGCTTCTTCCCAAAACAAATCAGGTTCTTTCTCAAGGTTTATTCATAACATGTTACTGTTAACCAAAGTGTGTGTAATTTGTTATGACTCTGACTGCTTTCCATTGTTGTAAGTAAGTGGGACGAAGCGCTGCCCAGATCAGAACAGAGCAGAATGCTGTGCCATAAGGACTGTATGATGAACTGTTCTCTCTTTGCAAAGATATAAATAAATGTGCCGACTGAGTGAAATCCATCGATCTCCGTTTATTTAACTAGGGTGAATAGTTTAATACTATTTTTTCCACGACAACCACCCTGCGTTCAATCACACCCAGCAGACAGCTGATCTACCGATCTTTGTGAGGGCATCAACCACTGCCGGCAGCCTTATCAATGCCCAAATTCAGCTGACATCCTCTGTAATTGTAGATACACCAGGTATCCTCTAAATTCAAACTGAAGAAATCCCAGTATCATAAAACCACAAATCCATACATCCTCAATATCCTCCACTGACAGCATTGTAAAACACAACCTCCTCCAAGCCTTCCAGCAGTCCATGGTGTATCCCACGAAGTATGTCCTGGCAGGACAGAACAGGTCCCCTTTGACCTGTCTTCTAGCTGAGAAAATAAGATCAATTGCATTCAGAAACCAGCTTATCAGATCCATTGTTTGAGTTTGGGTGATATGAAGAGAGGGCTCAGAAAAGAAAAAACACAACAAAGCAGGGACAAATCAGGGAGATCAGGGAGTTGCAGAGCAGCAGGAAATACAACTGCCTCCTTCGAGAGTCAGAATAGACTGACACACTTGGCACATACTTGGATCCTTGATTGCTTGGACCTATACAAAATCAACAGGACTCTAAATGCATTCATTGAAAACTCAATGAGGTTGTGTAAAACCACCCTTGATGCCAATGGCAAAACACTTGCAAAAGTCTCCATCACATTTGGCATATAACAAGAACCCCCTCAGTCAAATAATCAACAATACTGGCTATGGATAAGGACTGGGGAACGGGGACACCATCAGGCACTTACTCTACCTGTGCACTAATAATGATGTCTTATCAGCATCTTGATATGGCACACCTGTGAGTTGGGATGGATTACTTCAGCAAAGGAGAAGTGCAAATACTATCAGATTTAGTCTGGTTTGTGGACAAAATTTGAGGGAAATGGTAATGTGTATGTGGACAAATTTTTAGATCTTTCATTTCCTCTCATGAAAAATGGTAAGAAACCAAAAGTGTTTAGCATTTATATTTTTGTTGAGGGCAGATAATGTACAAACGATAGAGTCAAAGGAAAAGAAAATATCTACAATAAACTTTAATAATGAGAAAAACATAGCGCAATGAAGATGAAATCAGGAGTACTCAATAAAGACATTTGGTCTTACCGAGCCTTTTTGCAATTCCTCATGGCTGGAATCAGTCTCAGTCGTCCCTCAACTGTTGTGTTGTACTTGTCCAGATCCAGCTCATCCTGAACCTCCTCGGACATCTGCAACATGTAGGCCAGAGCTGAGCACTGGATCTCTGAGAGCTTTTTCTCTGATCTGTTTTCTGATTTCAGGAACTGTTGGATCTCCTGATAAACGGAGAGGTCCTTAATTTCCATCAGACAGTGAAAGATGTTGATGCTTCTTTCAGGAGAGATGTCATCAGTGTTCATCTCCTTCAGATTGTTGGTGACTTTCTGTACTGTGTCTGAACTGTTCGTCATCTGACCTATCAAGCCTCCCATGATTCTCTGGTTTGATTCCACAGAGAGGCCATGAAGGAAGCGGACAAACAGGTCCAGGTTCCCATTCCTACTGCAGAGAGATTTCTCTGTGGCTTTTTTCAAAAAGACATCCAGAGATGTTTTAATGCACTTTTTTTGCAGGAAATTCTTGATCCCCCTTGTGTTTCTGTTGGGATGACATTCTCCCAGGAAGTTTTCTATCACCTCTCTGTTCTTGCTGGTCAAACAGTGGAGCATGTAGACTGCAGCCAGAAACTCCTGGATGCTCAGATGAACAAAGCAGTAGACTGGTTTCTGAAAGAAAACGTTCTCTCTTTTGAAGATCTCTGTACAAACTCCTGAGAACACAGAGGCCTCTGTGACATCCAGACCACACAGCTCCAGGTCGTCTTGGTAAAATAGGATGTTTCCTTTCTCTAGATGCTCAAACGCCAACCTCCCCAGCTTCAGAAGAATTTTCCTGTCAGCTTTTGTCAGCTCCTGTGGACTCGTCTCATGTCCTTCATCATACTTGTTCTTCTTTCTCAAGGTCTGGACCAGCAGGAAGTGTGAGTACATGTCAGTCATGGTCTTGGGCAGCTCTCCTGTCTGCTCTGTGGTCAACAGGTTCTCCAGAACTGTAGCAGTGATCCAGCAGAACACTGGGATCCCACACATGATGAAGAGGCTCCTGGAGGTCTTAATGTGGGAGATGATCCTGCTGGCCTTCTCCTCTTCATTACTGAACCTCCTCCTGAAGTACTCCTCCTTCTGGGCATCAGTGAAGCCTCGTACTTCTGTTATCCTAGAAACACAGGACAGAGGGATCCGATTGGCCGCCGCAGGTCGGGAAGTTATCCAGATGAGAGCTGAGGGAAGCAGGTTCCCCTTGATGAGGTTCACCAGCAAAACATTGACTGATGACTTCTGTGTGATGTCGGAAACAAGCTGACTGTTGATGAAGTCCAGAGAAAGTCTGCTTTCATCCAGGCCATCAAAGATGAAGAGAATCTTCAAGACATCCAGCTTCTCTGCTGGGAGCTTCTGGAGGGTTGGATGAAAAACATGGAGCAGCGTGAGAAGACTGTGCTGCTGATCTCTGATCAGGTTCAGCTCCCTGAAGGAAAGCAGAACCACCACACTGACATCTTGGTTCTCCAAGCCCTCTGCCCAGTCCAGAGTGAACTTCTGCACTGAGAAGGTTTTTCCAACACCAGCAACGCCGTTGGTCAAAACCACTCTAATGGCTCCATGTTGGTCAGCTAAGGCTTTGAAAATGTCCTGGCATCTGATTGGAGAATCATGGAGGTTCTGGATCTTGGAAGCTCTCTCCAGCTGCTTCACCTCATGTTGGGTATTAACCTCTTCACTCTGTCCCTCTGTGATGTAGAGTTCAGTGTAAATCCTGTTGAGGAGGGTTCTGCTTCCTTTTTCATCAATTCCTTCGGCCACACGTTCACATCTCCTCTTCAGATCGATTTTATGTTCCTCTAGAACCTCCTGCAGACCATCATTTGCTGAAACAGATGGAAAGAAAGAGCAATCAAGTAAAAAAAAAACAAAAAAAAAACTTAAGTTATAAGGAGCCATCTGCACCATTAAAAGGTTTGATTCTTCTAAGGCAGGGGCCTGGCAACCAAAATTGTTCAAAGTGCCATATTGTACCAAAAACAACAAAACAAATATGTCTGTAGCCACAAAAATGTAAAACACCTATATAAGCCTTGTATGGCAACACAAGCTCTAAGAGTACTAGCCCATTATAAAAAAGGACTACATGGGCTTAAATATATAATAAGAATTTTTGATTAAAGGTGTATACTGGAGCAAATGTCACATCATGTGACCACTCTGATGTATGATACCCTGTCCTTTAAGTTTCAATTTCATAGTAGGAAAAGGTGAAGGAGGAGCAGTGAACGCTCTTACCGTGAGGAGTTTACTGCTCGCCGCTTCAATGCCACGCAGTTTGTATGTATCAGGTTTTGTTGCATTGATAAAATTATAGAAACACGATAATGAAATCAGGTTTTCGTTGTTATTTTTATATTTTTATTAAAAGGGAACAAAGTTTAAATACCTGTGTTGTGATACAACATTGCTAAAAAGAAGAAAGCAGTGAAGGACTGTCACACACCTCCTGCCCCGTTCTAATCATGGGGGATGCCCTGGCCGATAACCATGTAAGTTAGCTTCCTCAATTAAAAGCCAATTAGATTCCCTTGTTGATGCATCAGACTGTTCTGAAATTTCCCCAAGAACCGACCAGGTTTGGCAGACGGATTTGTGTGGAGCCGACACAAGTTGCATCCACTGCTCCTCAGAAACAGACCTGCAAATCGTCTCACAATCAGTAGTCAGGTTTTGCAAAGCGCTTATTTGAACTTTTTTCATGGTGTAGATGAATGTGGTTTGATTGGTTGTGAATGAGCCTTTTTTTCTTTTTCATCTTCATTTTTTTGTTTTCTCTTTTGTCCTGCCGTTGGTGTAGTAGAGTAGCTGAGGGTCTGTATGCCTTTGAACCATTCACAACCACATGTTAGGGCTGGCTATTTCATGAGTTCTACAAGCTAATATACACCCACCTTTGTAGTCCTCCCCTCCCCTCCAGAACACCTGATAAAGTCCACCTTTTTGTCATTCACACCACCCAGTAGTTTTCCAGCCTGTTGCTCCCCCAGTCCAGACCACATGGTAGGGGACATCCATCTTGAAACTGCCTTGTTGACCTCCACCCTTTATCTAACTAGGTTAGTAGAATGTAGTTTTACTGAGGTGCTACAATGCTATATTGTTAATGCTATGTTTTTGTAAACAGTTACAACTATATGTTGAATGAAGCCACATTGTTTTACTACACAGAAGCCAGTTAAACGGACTCTTAGGGTGTTATTCTTCTTCTTTCAAAACTAGTCACTTAGTCTACCTCGTGTTTTTTTTCTAATAGCGTATAGTGTTTTGCACAGATGTTAGATTCCTGTATTCCTGAATTATTAGAGTAACAACATCATTGTTTAACTCGCAGTTGTTTTTGATTCATATATGAATGGTTTATCACTCAAGCCAAATCCACCCTCTTTTGGTAATAGTTTGAAAAGACAGTTAAGTTACAGTTAAACCCTGTTTTCCCTGGTTACTCTTTGTTTCCCCCTAGTGTCCCTTTCCTTTCCCCTAAGCCCCTTTGTAGCACCTTCTGTCCACACCCGCTCCCATTTAACTGATTAATCCACTCTTGGTTCTGTCTCACATATATAATCCTCCTCTGTAGTTCATCAGTACTGGATTCTCCTCATCGCTTCCTACTGCCTTTTCATCCTGAGTGTCTCCCTGTTTTGGTTCTGATTTCCCTGCCTGTTGTTTATTGGATACATTTTCTGTTGCTACAGCATCAAATACATATATAATAATTAAATTTATCCGCATTTAACCTATCTCCTTTGGAACACTGGGCTCTAATCACTAGGCCAGGGGTAATCAATTAAAAATCAGCAGGGTCCGAATAAAGAAAATCAACAACCAGTAAAAGTCCGGAGACATTTCTAATTATAATCAGTTACTATAAAAATTATTTAACACAGATATAAAATGAGGTGTTTTAAATCAATTTGAAACCAGAAACCCTTGAACACAGACAGTAAATGCAGACCAGTCTGCAATGCATAGATTAAATTGAAATTATTTATCCCAGAAAGACTTTTAAAAGCATAATTCTTCAAATCCAATTAAACACGTAGAATTTGTTAAAAAGATGATTAGAAAAGATCCCAGAATAAAGGTATGAAATCTTACCTGCTGCATATTTGCTTTGACTGCCTATCAGACGTTCAGCTCCTGTTGTTATCCTTTCTTCACACTTGAGACAAAAGGAGGGCACTGATGGAGCAGACTGGACCAATTGGGACCTTAAACATTGCCTGCAGGATTGGTGTCCACAGCTGAGGGAGACCAGATCCATCACAGCATTCTGACAAAAATCACAGCGGGACACATGTACCTGCACACTGCTCCTCATCCTCCATCTGTGAAGAAATATTTTTATCACTAAGATATTTTTCAACCAACTGGGTCAGGTTTCGGCCTGGGTCAGGTATTGGCCTGTCATCTGTCCAGCTCTCTGTATCAGATGTTCATTAATTCCAGTGCCTACTTTAGTTACAATGGTATTTTTAATAAGTAGTATTTTTGTAACTTTAGAGGCGAGGGTGTAAGAGTTAGAGTCCCAGCGTCAGGCTGTTCACCATCCATGCATTAGAGTAGGCCCACTAACCGCCCAGAGCCACCGAGAGCAGGGATATGTCCGTGTCATGGTCCTCCAACAGTTCCTGAGTAGCCATGCAAATGGGTGACAGTACGTGTAAAGCTTAGTCATAGATCTCTGCCCACTGGTCATCACCAACCCGTTCACGTTTCTTACTGATTTATCTCCCTTAGTGACGCATCCACTGAGAAGCCCACCTTAATGGTAATTGGCAGCTCCAGAATCGTGGCATAAGAGACACCAGGGACCATAGTCAAATGTTTGCCTAGAGCCAGAATGGGCAACATGAAATCCTATCTGAAACTGCTAGCTTAGGATAAGGTTAAATACAGCAAGATTTTTATTCATGCTGGTGATAATTAAACCCGGTTAGAAGTCACTAAAATTTGTGTTGCTTCATCACCAACCCGTTCACGTTTCTTACTGATTTATCTCCCTTAGTGACGCATCCACTGAGAAGCCCACCTTAATGGTAATTGGCAGCTCCAGAATCGTGGCATAAGAGACACCAGGGACCATAGTCAAATGTTTGCCTAGAGCCAGAATGGGCAACATGAAATCCTATCTGAAACTGCTAGCTTAGGATAAGGTTAAATACAGCAAGATTTTTATTCATGCTGGTGATAATTAAACCCGGTTAGAAGTCACTAAAATTTGTGTTGCTTCTGTGTGTAAGTTGCCAGTTCTCTTGGTTCTGACTAGTGATGACATGTTTAAACACAAGTCAACGTACAACCGTGTTGCAACATAACCTCTTCTTTTTGTAACTTACTTTTTGTACCAGTTTTTGTCCATGAGTCTGACACCCTATCTAATTTTAAAACTAGTCTTAAACGTTTCCTTTTTTGGTACAGTGGCTGACGTTATCCTGAGCTATCTCAAGATATCTCTATCGTTATGCTGCTATAAGCTTAGGCTCCTCAATGACATAGGGACCACTTTTCATCATTTAAACTCTTAACATCAACCTAATCTTGGGTAATCCTTGCCTATTTTCCAAATGAAAAAGAAAATAACTTAGATACTGTAAGCCCAAATTGAGTAGAACACCGCCCAACCTGCATCAGTTCAAACATGACAAAGTTGTTTTTTTTCATTCTCAAAATGATAGGTCTTTTTTATGTGTTGTACATCATATCAACCACAAATGCAGAAAATTTCAGACCTCTAACTATAACAGTTCCAGAGCTGTGGGCTTTGGAGACTTTTGGTGTCAGCTTGGAGCTGCTGCAATAGCTCCACCTGCTGGTAAAAATTTTACCGGTGGAATTTTACGCATTCTGAATTATTACCTCCACTTGCCGATGCCGGCAACCTGGTTTTAAGGGGTTAATTATCTGTACATTTGAATCCTTTTCCTGCAACCCTGGTGCAATCCGTGCTTATGCTCTTCCCCACAAGTTTTGTTATTCATTCGTCATCCACAACTGGAATTGACCAAATTTAAAAAATAAAAAAAAACGCTAGTTTCACTTCTTCACTTATGAAACTTTATCTCGGAAACTAGATGAATTGTTGCAAGATTTGTGAATTCACAAACTCCTGTAAATACATCTTGCTGGAAACCAACAGGTGCATTAGCCTCAATACAGAAATGTTTTGGATCAATGGAATGCAGTGTCAATCAGAAGCAGAAGGGTGTGGCAAAATAAACATTGCTGTGCAGGTTTTAGCTGGAATGCTGGCACACAGCTGTTGCTTTTGTGGAAGGAAATGATGTTTGCATGTTCTTCCCAAATGTATTTTGTAAGAGTTTGATTTATTTGTTAACTCTGCTAGTTGGGAAACAATCGTGAATGTTATACCTTACCACTGCTGCTACTGCTGCAATTGGCTAAAAGCTCAAGTAAGCCGGCATGTGTTGCTGGATTTAGCCAATTAGCTGAAAGAATTGTACTCAGTCCGCCTCCCTTTTTGCAAACGCTTTCTACAGGAGTCTTACCACGCTGATACTTTGTAGAATTTAAATTTAATTAATCGTATCAATTCAGCTTATGCCACATTACAAGAAAGCTGCTGAAGTTGACAGCTTCTCTCTGTAGGTTAACTGTTCCACAGTCTTCTCTTTCTCTCTGGTAAAGAGCAGAATCGATCATGAATATTCACTGTGTGCCTTTGCCTGGAGCATTTTATTTTTATAAAAGAAGCTTGTTTGTTGTTAAGTGAAGTTATTCACCAAAAAGAGTTGCGATATTTTATTCAAATATTACTCACTGAGGATCAACCAGTTAATATTCCTTATAATATACACTGCTCAGAAAAATAAAGGGAACAATAAAATAACATCCCAGATTTAAATTAATGAAACATTCTCACTGAATTGTTTGTTCTGTAATTCACTGTACTGACAAAAAATTACATAAAATAATGAATGGAAATAAAATTTATTAACCAGTGGAGGCCTGGATTTGTAGTCACACTCAAAATAAAGTGGAAAAACACACAACAGGCTGATCCAACTTTCATTTAGTTGTGACAGATGTTAACAGATGCTAGGATATGTCCCATCTCAAATCAATGTTTGTTTTTCTTGGTTCACATATTATGTTTTATTTTCTCACTTCCTATTTATGTAACTTATGATAAATTCCTGCTGCTCCCCTAGGTAGAGGTAAGCGATACTGGGAATTTTCAACCGATACGATACCAAGTAAATACAGGATCAGTATCACAGATATTGATAAGATACCGATACTTTTTAACATTTAAGCTTGATGTATCATAGAACTGTCTATCTTTATTTATTATAACAATTGAATAATATAATAATACACAACTTTTATTATATCTTTCAATCAGTATGTGATTTTGTTTTTATTCTGTGCACTTGTTTGTTACTTTAATTCTATGAAGCTCCACATTGTGGGATAAATAAAGGATTATTTAATGTTAGCACACTTAGATAACATCTTTTAATGGGATAAATGTAGTGTTTTTTTCAAGGTCTTAATTACACTTTCTGAGGGGGCTCCAGTTATATATGACAGACATGGGCAATATGGAGTCAACAAGTCATCTCCATGTCATGTATTTGTTCTACCCAGCC